CAGGTTTATAGAAGCTGGCCCACTTAGTAAAATGCCCCAAACTAGGAGGTGTAGGTCTCAACCAGTATGTCGGAGTCTCCCCTGTCACTCGGATGAAAAAAAAACACATAAGGTTAGCAAAAAGCGCGCAAGGTTTATTCCTAGTGACGAGCGCCACACTGTCCTACTTGCTGAGACTCCAAGTTGCTAGTTTCAAGCGTTCTACAGAAGTGGGCGGGGCTCCGCGAGGTGGGCGGAGCTTCTCGTAGGACGGAATATGGACCCACGCGAATCGCTCTATCTTTTCGTACCTTTGTGATATTCCTCTACGCAGAAGTTTATCGGGTTGTATTTCTAAAGCACAGGTGCTCTACAGAGAAACAAAACTCCAAACTAATTGAGGGTCACCAAGGCAAACACTGATAAAGTGCTTGGCGGTGACGAACTCCTTTTGTCGCCACATTAAACAATTTTTATTCGAGATAGTCCAAGCACTGCAAATATGCATAATATGCCAGGCGAAATTCATCAGCGAGGTCGTATTCTGCCGCTGAGGGAGAAGGTAGCATTTTGGACACGAGAGGAAATTTTTCGGAATGTTGATTTGTTCCACTTCGCACGCGCGAAACCTCCATTAGTTTTTTTGCGCAGCCAAACTACTAGTTCTGATAATTAATCGGAGATGTCTATCTTCCCTCCCCCTAGCTGGACGGCAAAATATTGGGGAAATTCAGCAAGAGCGTGGGTAGGTAGTGAACTGAAAGTCCTAGCGAAGGCAGAAATTTGGAAGGGGGGGGGGCTCATAATGCCACCGCCATTCCACCCATCAGTACCCTGATTCCGATATAGCGAATACAATACCTCGCGGCACCAGTCCCTCTCTTTCCAGGTAAGTTCGGCATCGAAAACGATCGTAAGCAGATGGAGAGCTTGGTTGCCGTGGGCGATATCCCATCCACAGACCGTACAAGCGTTAAAGGTATCAAGAACACTGATCCATCCATCCATGGATCTGATACCATTATTTCCACTAGATAAAACGTCTCCAGATAGGAAGGAAGGCTCTTGAATAGATAAAATGCGATCCGGGAGTACCTTGAGCCTCGTCTTAGCACCCCCCCCCTCCCCTCATCCCCTTCACAGTACAGCTGACTGGGTTGGCTCTCTAACTCACGCGCTCCAGTTATTTTTTTGAGGTTTGAGAAACCGCAGCAAGTTAAAGACACTTTCCAATGGGCGGAGTCAAACGGATCACTGCACTTTCCTTACTGATTTGCTCCTCCTATCAGAGCACATCGTATGTTGGGAATCCCCAGCGGGGTGGTATTTGGTCGTTGAAGGGTGGGTAGTATTTGCCGTTGAGTAGAAAATTTTGCTCATCTCTGTGGGAGGAGCCATCAGTAAGCGAGAAGAATGCACCTGCCGAAGTAATTCCGTCCTAGCGATAAGAATGGAATGCGCCCTCCAGAAACGGAAAAAAACCAAAATATTAGAGCTGAACCGCATAGTAAGATTGGCAAGCCTTAAAA